ATTGGGTAATCCTCATTATCAACAACAATATGTGATTCCAACGCCTGAAAACTATAATTCCAGTTTATCACAACAGCCATTTACTCCTAGGCCTCTTGGCTACCAACAGTATGGAAGAGGTAGAGGAAGAAGTTTTAGTAAAAACAGATTAATTTTCCAAGTATGTAACAAGGCAGGGCACTTTGCAATTCAATGTTACCACCGGTTTAACTCAGCTTATAATGGAAGTTTTCCTGGCTCACAAATGCAGCAAGCCTATAATCAACAACAGCCTGTGAATGTTTATGGTTCACATCCACAAGTACCCACTGCTCAGCATCCTCAATTTCCCATTGCCTTACACTCTCATACTATCTAGCATTCACCAATTCCTACTGCTCAACATCCCTTTACTGCTTATACCACCAACACGTATAGCCCTCCTTTCCAAATGCTCTCTTCTCAATAGCCTTTGCCTGATACTCATGCTACTGCTAACCAGAATTTTGATATTTTTAGACCACAACAGCAGCCACTTACCTCATATCAGCATCCTTTGCCTGGTTCTTTTTCTTTTAACTTCACCAACAACTCAGAAAATATAGCCTTTTCACAATCTTCACCTGAGAGTTTCTCACCAACTTCAACTCCTCATGGTGTTTTTGGTATACTACTGTCAGGATCCAGTCAGGCTTTTCTTGCTGCTACTCATCAAAACAACAGTGGACATCCTGGTTCAGGCTCACAACCTCAGTCATCACCAGTTCACACTGCCCTTACTACTTCCTTTACTCCTTTGGATCCTGTGTGGTACATGGATTCAGGAGCCACTGATCATGTTACAGCAGACCTGAATCACATGAGTATCAGTAAGAATTATAATGGTGTTAGTCAACTTCAAGTAGGTAATGGTGCATCTCTTCCTATTTCACACACTGGTCATACCTCTTTACCTAGTCTTTTTCAATACAAGAGCCTTTATCTCAAAAATATCTTGTGTGTACCTACAATTACCAAAAATATTTTGAGCATCTCTAAATTTACTACTGATAATGATGTTATTGTTGAGTTTAATGTTGATTGTTGCCTTGTTAAGGACAGGTTGACTAGAGCAACTTTACTGCAAGGGGAGCTTAGAGGAGGCCTTTATCAGTTGAATATTCCACACTCCAACTCTGCTCATTCATCGTCATCTTCTTCCAGTCATTCTGGTGTGTCTAAACCCTGTCTACCTATGTCTTGTATCTGTAATAATAATTCTACTTCTTGTGGAAATATGTCTAGTTCTTATCCTAATGTGTCAACTGTTAGTACTCTGAAAAATAAAAGCATGAGTTGTAACTCTGCACAGTCTATGGTTGACAATGCTACTAAGTGTAAAGATCTTTCTATCAATAATAGTAAAACTTGTTCCTCTGATTAGTTTCTGCCTGATACAAATTCTGATATTTTTTGTTTTAATGTTGATACAATTGATGTTGATCACATGATATGGCATAAACGCTTAGGACATCCTCATTCTCTCATTTTACAAAAAATTGTTGTTGGTTTGTCTAAGAATACTGTCTCTAAGAGAAAGTCATCATCCACTCATTCACTTGCATTTTGTGATGCATGCCAACTTGGCAAATTACATCTCACTAGTTTTCCTCCATCCACATCTCAAGCTACTGCACCCTTAGAACTTATACATAGTGATATTTGGGGTCTTGCCCCGTTACCTTCATCAGAAAGTTTTCGATATTATGTACAATTTTTGGATGACTATAATCGATATACTTGGCTTTTTCCTCTTAGAACTAAATCAGAAGTTAAATCGGTCTTTATTAAATTTCGTAAACTTGCTGAAAGGCAATTTGGTCACAAAGTCAAGTGTCTCCAGTCAGACCAAGGAGGAGAATACATTACACTACATTCTTATCTCACCAATTTAGGAATTAGATTTAGACATTCTTGCTCACATATACATCAACAAAATGGTAGATGTGAGCGCAAGCACAGACATATTGTTGAAACTGGTCTAACCCTTCTTGCTCATGCATCCATGCCTTTACAGTTTTGGTGGTTAGCATTCGAAACTGGAGTATTTCTCATAAATAGGATGCCCACAACTACTTTGGTTTACTTGTCTCCTTACCAAAAATTATTTCAATCCCCACCTGTTTATGAGTCATTGAAAGTTTTTGGATGTTCTTGCTTTCCATTTCTTAGACCTTTTAATAAGCATAAATTTGACTTTCATTCTACCAAGTGTGTGTTTGTTGGCTATAGTCTAGTTCATAAGGGATATAAATGTTTGAAACCAGATGGAAAAATTGTTGTCACTCCGTGTGTCAAGTTTATTGAGTCAGAATTTCCTTTTTCTCATGGCCATGTTTCTTCTTCTTCCTCTCCTAAGCTGTCATCTGAATCAAGTATTTCCTCTCGTCAAATTCAATCTCTTCCATTTCCTATCATCACTACACAAAATCCTCCTTCTTCAACAGAACAAGCCCCTCTTCCCTCTACAGTAACAAGTTCATCAAAACTGTCTGAAAATGGCACTTCAGCACTAGGTACTTCTTCCTCTTTTCCTTCAAACTCACAATTGTATATCTCTCCCTCAATACCTATTGCACCTCATGATTCTTGTAGTACTTCATTAAATAGTGAACATTATTCCTCACATACTCATATTCCACAACCTGCTTCTTCTCCATAATACTCACCTGATCATTATTCAACTAAGATATCATCCCTTCCTGTTATACCACCTGATACTAGCCTGCCATCCATTCCACTTGAAGTTGATCTTACACTATCACAGTGTTCTAATACTCTTCAACCCATACACTCTACACAACCACCTTCCACACATCCTATACAATTGAATTCCCTTAACCTTCACCCTATGTTGACCCGAGCCAAAGCAGCAGCCATGTCTTCCTCTGCTAATACTATAGCAAATCCCTCCACTATTTTTCTATCGAAACAGCATGTTATTGAGCCAGAACCCAATTCTGTTGTTGAAGCTTTGGCTAATCCTAAGTGGAAAGAGGCAATGCAATCTGAATTTACTGCTCTGCTAAAAAATCAGACCTGGACACTGGTTCCTCTTTCCTCCAATGTGAATGTAGTAGGGAACAAATGGGTATTTAGAACCAAGTATAATGCAGATGGTTCTTTGCAAAAATACAAGGCTAGGTTGGTTGCAAAAGGTTTTCAACAAACCCTGGGACTTGACTTCTTTGAAACTTTTAGTCCAGTTGTTAAACCATCCACTATCTGAATCATTCTAACCTTGGTTGTTACACATGGCTGGGATGTTTATCAAATTGATGTCAACAACGCATTTTTAAATGGTACTTTAAATGAAGAGGTATACATGAAACAACCTCCTGGTTTTGAGGATCCTCACAATCCTACATATGTGTGCAAGTTGAATAAAGCTCTTTATAGGCTTAAACAAGCTCCAAGGGCTTGGTTTGATCAGTTAAAGGTTGCCCTCCTCAACAAGGATTTTGTTAATTCTGTCTCTGATTCAAGCCTATTCATTTTTAAGCAAAATTCTTTACTAACCTATGTGTTAGTCTATGTAGACGACATTCTTTTGATAGGGTCCAGCTTAAATTACATTACTTAGCTTATGAAGGATTTAAATGATCAGTTCTCACTCAAAACTCTTGGTTCATTGCACTATTTTCTTGGCTTGGAAGCTACACAAAACTGCAGTGGTATCCACCTGAAACAAACCAAATATGTAGCTGATCTATTACTCAAAACCCGCATGAATGAAGCTCATCCTTGCTCCACTCTTATGGACGTTGGTACACGGTTATTCTCAGGTAATAGTGACTTATTCGAGCAATCGAGTTTGTACCGAAGCACTATAGGGGCACTTCAATACCTTACACTTATAAGACCTGATCTTAGCTTTCCTGTTACTAAGCTTAGTCAGTTCCTATCAGCTCCTACAACTCTTCAATGGCAAGCATGCAAAAGAATTCTTCGGTATGTCAAAGGAACACTAGATTATGGCTTACACTTTTAGCCCACTCGCTCTCTCAATGTGGAATGTTACACCGATGTGGATTGGGGAAGTAATTTGGAGGATCAACGCTCCACTAGTGGCTGCTGTGTATACATGGGACCCAATTTAGTTCAGTGGAGTTCAAGAAAGCAGCGACTTGTAGCCCTTTCTTCCACTAAAGCTGAGTATAGAGAATTGGCTCAAACAACCACAGAGGTAGCATGGTTGCAGAGTTTATTCACTGAACTAGGAATTTCTATAAATATTAAGCCTGTGATATGGTGTGATAACATTAGTGCAGCAGCATTAGCTTCTAATCCGGTCTTTCATTGCATGCACCAAACACATCGAGATAGATGCACATTACATCCTAGAGCAGGTATTAGCTAATAAAGTGGCAATTCAGTATGTACCATCCAAGCTTCAAATAGCTGATGTTCTTACAAAAGCCCTATCTGCTTCCCAATTTGCTGAATTATGCCAGAAATTAACAGTGGTAAGTGTTGCTGAAATCTGTACTTAACACTGTGATAGAAGTGAAAGATTGTTTGCTCTGCTTTGATTCATATTACTCATATACTGGTATAATTTAAGTGGTCTAAGACTGAAGTTTTTCTTTTTGTGGTTGCTTTGCTTTGGCTCACTACCAGTTCTTTGCTTGTTAGTTTGGTTTGGATCAGCAGTTCAGTTTGGATCAGTTGTTTAGTTTGGTTTGAATCAGCAGTTGTTCAATTTTTGGATCATTTGTTTAGTCTGTTTTGGATTAGCAGTTTAGTTTTTTGGATCAGGTGTTCAATTTGATTTGGATCAGCAGGGGTTCAGTTTTGGATCAGGTGTTCAGTTTGATTTGGATCAGCAGTGGTTCAGTTTTGGATCAGGTGTTCAGTTTGATTTGGATTAGCAGTGATTCAGTTTTGGATCAAGCGTTCAGTTTGATTCGGATCAGCAATTGTTCAATTTTGGATTAGTTGTTTAGTCTGTTTTCAGATCAGCAGTTCAGTTTTGGAATAGTTCAGTTTGACTCTTGCAAATGTTCTTCTCTTCTGCATCTAAAGCTTTCAGTTTCTAGGACTTCATGCTGCAGAACAATTATACATTTCTTGTGCTTTAGCCATTCAACATGCAATTTGCAGTTGCATTTGCTTTCTTCAGTTCTTTAAGATCAGTTGCTTTTGATAGGATTATCATTCAATGACAATAAGCATGGTTCCTCATGCAAACGTTCAGATTGGTCTGATTGTCTTTCTCAACATTCTATGGAGCTGGGTTTTAGGGGGAATGTGAGTCAAAAAGGCTAAAGGCTAAACCTATAATTGACTTGACTTAGTCAATTGTTTGATAACCAAAACTCCACCGTTTTGGTCTTATTTTTAGTTAAGTGTATGTTAGTCAAAACTCCACCGTTTTGGAGTTTTAGTCTTCTTCCTAAATCGTACAAAAGAAGTTTTACTCTTTGAAAAGTTTTATCAGATCTGTTAATAAGAATTTTTCCCGATTCTTCTTCTGTTCAATTGTTTTTTGTCTTCTTTCTTGCATGTTCACATATATTGCTTAGATTTCTCTTTGGAAAATTTATAAAGAACACATACCATATTTTTCGCTTCCAAGTCAATTTTATCATCTCCTTTCCATTCAAGCAGAAATTTCACAATTTCTGTCTTGTTGTTACTAGCAGAAACATGAAGGGGTGTCTCCGACATCTGCATTTCAACAAAAATGAATACATAAATTGGAAGATAAACACAGTCAGCTTAATTGTACTTTAAATTAATTAATTTGCAAAGCAACTTAATTATTGTTCCCTTCTTAATTTGTCCAAAACCCTCTAAAGAACTAGCTTAGAAAACTAATTCTTTCAAAAAGGATATGTATTCATTGCCTAAAAGAAAAAAAAAATTAATCTTACAAATGCATTTCTTTCTTTGAGAAGAGATGGATTATCCTGAAGTAGCTTCTGAAACCGATCAATATCCCCCAACTGAGCACAGTCATGAATGGTTATACGTTTCTCAGATCCTGATGATTGTTTAACATGACCATTCTCCATGTCTATTTGTGGTCTCTGTTGATGATTAATTAAGGAGATAAAAAAGAACAAAATAAAACAAGGCAAGAACAAAGAGAAATTTGGAATGTTTACTTAATGAAATTAAGTTTTGTTCCCTTTTTATAAGCATATGATGTGCTCATTTATTTTGCTTAATTTTATTGCGTAACACGAAAAACTTGAGCATGGAATATTATGGAGTCTTCAATGAAGGTTCCTGAGCTTTCGGGTACTTTTTCTTGATTGACTTGACTAATTTTCTATCGTATGTTAAGGAAAGATTGAATCCAACTAATGCAGCTTTCTTTTCCCTTTCAGAAAAGGAGCGCTTGTATGTAAAGGTATATATATATATATATATATATATATATATATTAACGGCTTCACATTCTACGAAAGGGCCGTCTTGAACATTGTCTATTCCATAGCTTACCTCAGGGGTCTATTAAACAGAGTAAAGCAAGTCAATTGTAAGGGTGTATCTGTAAGGTTTTAAAGGTAGCTTAGTTTGTATTAAAAACGTTTGAAACACTGCATTTTAAAGCAGCATGAAACGCTGCGTTTTTCTACTGATTGGCAGAGTATATAACAGCCTCTTCTTTCTGTTTTTTAGTTAATAGTTCAATTCGACATATCAGTAATAGAGTATTGACTTTTTTCTAGAGTCGTCTAAATTACTCTTTCTTGTTTCTTGATTCTGGAAAACTTTCATGGTATTAGAGCCATTAGACCAGCGTCAATGGTGATTGTTGATAATACCTCAGCTAAATCAGCTTCTAAATCAGATGATATGGATGCTGATTTCTTATTCCTCACAAACTCCAATATTCCACCCACATTACCATCCATTTCTGTCAAATTACTAGAGAAAAACTATACGTTTTGGTGTTCACAAATCCTACCAGCTTTAATTTCTCATAGACTGGAAGGATTTATCACTAGAGAGAAGGCATGTCCTCCAATGTTCAAATTCGAGAAAGATGAGAGCTCAGAAACAACAGTCAAGAAACCAAATCCAAGCTATTTCAATTGGAAGAAAGTCGACTAATTTCTGGTGAGTTGGCTTCTATCCACCATTTCTGAGTCTATGTTTTGGCATGTCGCAAAATGTAGCATTTTGTATGAGATCTGGAATTTACTAGAACTGCATTTTCAAGGTGTATCTAAAGCTAGAACCCTTTACTTGAGAAACATGTTGCAGAACACCAAAAAAGATGCCCTAAGTGTTAGTGATTATGTCCTAAAAATGAAAGAGTTAGGGGACGAATTGATAGCTAGTGGTGTAAGCCTAAGTGATAAAGAGTTGTTACTCTACATATTGGACGGGTTAGGACCCGAATATGATGTCGTAGTAGCAAATTTAGTTGCAACTAGTAGTCAGACACTCTCCAAGAAGCACGATTCTTGCTTCATAAACATGAGATTAGTTTGGAGAGACAGAGCAATTCTTTTACAAATCTACATGATCAGCTTGCCTTTACACTATTAGTAGCTAAACAAAGCCCCACTGACTCCCATGTTTTGAACCAAAACAAGTCAATCACCCCATCAGTCACCCCTTTTAATGGTCAAAATCTAGCTGGTATATCTTCAGTTTTTCAACCTATGATCTCTCACTCAATCCCTAGAAATCCTTAATATAGTAACAACAATGTGCCTCAAGAAAGCTTCAAGCCTGATCTTAATACTCAGTTTCAACCTCAGTTTGTACATAACGATGACTTTGCTAATTAGTTGACCTCCTCTGGTAATTTTATATACAATCCTTTCATGATGAAAAGTAGAGGCAGAGGAAGGGGACATTTTCAACCAAGACTTATATGTCAAGCTTGTGGAAAAGGGGTACACTCTGCAATTCAATGTTACCACTGTGTTGATCATAACTTTCAGGGTTTCTATAATCAGAACCAAGGGAATTTTATAAATCAAAATCCATGTTTTATTAACTCTGGCTCATCACAAGGACAGTTTCAAAATCAGTTCAATGAATCACTCCAAGCTTTGTTGGCTGCAAAAATGCTTCCTATCTAATCTGTGCAAGGTTGTACACCTTTATCCTTCAGTCACGACTATCCTGGTCATGGTGGAGCAAACCTTTCTCAGTCACCTGCATATTATCAACAACCTCAGTAGTCTGTGTTATTTGGGCATCCTCACCAACCTGCTATGATTCAATCAGAAGCTCATGGTAGCAATGTTGCTAAAAACACTCAAAATAATTTTTCAGTTCTTTAAAACAACTTACCAATAGCCACACCACAAGTGCTCGCTGACCAAACATGGTATGTCGACTCTGGAGCAACCAATCACATGACTGCTGAACCAACCAACCTGGTGGTGAAAGACAACTATCAAGGTGGATCACAAGTCCAAGTAGGCAATGGCCAAACTATCCCTATTACTCATATAGGTGAGTCTTTTCTAGCTTCCACTTTTTATCCTAAATTACTTCATCTTAGGAAGATGTTATGTGTGCCGCATATAGCTAAAAGTCTATTGAGTATCTCACAAATAACTAGAGATAATGATGTTGATGTGGAATTTTATTCTGATCACTGTGTAATAAAGGATAAGGCCACCAAAATGGTACTTATACAAGGACTCTTAAGGGATGGTTTGTATCAATTGCAATTATCCTTTCCAACCACTGTCTCCTTCAATGATGAACAAGCTACTTCTGTCTTTCTATCTCAAGCATCCAATGTTAGTTTTAATGATCCTGCTATTTCAGTTTCAAGTAATAAAGTCACTAAAGCTCCTGCTGTTTCATCAACCACAAGTAGTGAGAGTAACTGCATTAGATATAATAATTCTAATGTTAGAAATAGTAGAACCAAGTTGTGGCATGCTCAATTGGGGCATCCACAAGAGAATACTCTGAAATCTGTAATGAATAAAATGAATATTTGTGGCAATTTTGGAAATAAGTTGTCCTTATGTGAAGCATGTCAATTTGGAAAAATGCAGCAAGCTTCTTTTCCATTGTCCAGTTCTAAGACCACAAGTCCTCTTGAGATAGTTTATTCAGACTTGTGGGGGCCTGCACCAGTATGTTCAACTGAAGGATGCAAATATTATATGTTGTTTGTGGATGATTTTAGTAGATTTGTCGGATTTATCCATTAAAGTTGAAGTCTGAAGCTTTTACTGTTTTCTCTCATTTTCACTCCTTTGTTGAGAGACAATTGAATGCCAAATTAAAATGTCTACAAACTGATTGGGGAGGAGAGTTTAGGCCTTTCTCTAATTACCTACAAGCACATGGAATTGCATTTAGACACTCTTGTCCTTACCTCCACCAACAAAATGGAAGAGTGGAAAGAAAACATAGAGTTATAACAGAATTTGGGTTAGCACTTTTGGCTCATGCTTCAATGCCATCGTGTTTTTGGTGGCAAGCCTTCACTACTACAACTTATCTTATTAACAGATTGCCCTCTGTATCTATTGAAGAAATATCACCCTTTCAAAAACTATTTGGAGATGAACCTATCTATGATGAATTCAGGGTCTTTGGATGTTGTTGTTACCCCTATATTAGGCCATATCAGAAGCATAAACTCTCTTATCACACTCAAAGATGTGTTTTCCTTGGCTATAGTTCAGTTCACAAGGGGTATAAATGTTTATCCTTTTCAGGGAAAGTCTATGTTGTTAAACAAGCTCGGTTTAATAAAGGTGAATTTCCATTCAAAGATGGTTTTAAATGCTCTCTGGTTAAGGACAAAGATAATGTTGAATTGAGTGATGTTATTCATGGTTCCACTCCTTGGAATTTCTCCCATGTTGTTGATCTTATTCCATCTGCTGGAGTCATTTCAGCACCCAAGCCTAGAACTTGCCATCCTGTCATCAACTCATCCTCAAATAACATACACTCATCTTCAACACATGAAATAAATCATCCTTCAGTATAGGAATCTGCTTTGAGAAACTCAGAATCTGCCCTTCCTATTTCTCAACAGCAGACACACCCAATAGCAGATTGTTCAGAATTTAGTATCCTGCAGTCTGATTCCAATAATATTACTTATGCATCTCGCCCTACCTCTAATCATGACAAAGCAAGTACTAGTTCTGCTGGAATTCAGCTTGAGGTAATTCTCCCTATCACTAAACCTCCTTCCTTACCAACTACCAATCATCATCCTATGATTACTAGATCTAAAAGCCACTTACATGTACATCCTCCAGAGCAAGCCTTGTTATCTACTTTTCATATTTTGGCTGAACCTAAATCTGCCACAGAAGGTTTAAATGTTCCAAAATGGAAGGCCGCAATGCAGGAAGACTTTCAAGCACTTCAAAGAAACAATACCTGGTAATTATTCCCTTACACTTCAGGTATGAACTTGGTAGGATGTAAATGGGTTTTTAGAACCAAGTTAAAATCTGATGGCACTCTATAAAAATACACAGCAAGGTTAGTGGTAAAGGGATTTCAACAAACACCAGGCCTTGACTACTTTGATACTTTTTCCCTAGTTATCAAACCTGCTACAATCAGAATTATGCTCCCCCTTGCTGTTCATTACAAGTGGGATATCCAACAAATCGATATAAACAATCCTTTCTTAAATGGTGACTAAACCGAAACTGTCTTGAAGGATTTGTTGATTCTACATATCCCAAGCATGTTTGTCAACTTCATAAAGCTCTATAGAGCTTGGTTTGACAAGCTAAAATGTGCTTTCGTCTCATGGGGTTTTACCAATTCAGTTTTTGACACAAGTTTGTTCTTTATGAAGAAAGGTGCTCAAGTGATATATCTACTAGTTTATATTGATGATATAATCATTACATGGTCTGATTCTTGTTTAATTTCTCAAATGATTGAAGATCTTTATCAGCAGTTTGCACTTAAACACTTAGGATCCTTAAACTATTCCCTTGGGTTTGAAATACGTCGCACTGATTCTTATTTACTTCTCACTCAATCAAAGTATGCCCAAGAGTTGTTGATCAAGGTTGGAATGAATGGCTGCAAGCCATGTACAACACCAATGGTAATGGGTGTGAAATTAGGGAAAGAGGATAGTGAGTTTTTTGATCAACCAACACTATATGTAA